GACCTTGGTGGCATCTATCCTCAAAGAAATAATATACATTAGAAAGTGATACCAGCAGTCATTACAAGCAAAACATCATCATCAAATTTCTAGTTCAAGTTTATGCCAAGATCTGAAAATAGGAACACTAGTTGTACTGTCAATCAATGCTACCTAAGGAGCAGTTCTGCTGCTGGAAAGAAGAGCTGGAGTTATCAAGGGAGAAGAGGAAAAATAATGACCTGAAAGTCTAATGAGAGAAAACAAATTAAAAAAAAAACCAACTTATGGAATCACTTATAATCAAAACATTAACAAAAATAAGAAATGAAAAAATATAAAGTCCAGAGTTGGGGTGCTGAATACAAGATTCATGGAATGTGATCAAAACACAACTTCATTTTTTGGTTTTTACCTTCTTTAAAAAATATATATTGGGATGAGGAAATCTTCCCCTTCCCCTTCCCTTGAATTGGGTAATTTCCCTGGTTTTTGGTTTATTTTTCATTAATTGAAAATCCTTTAAGAAACAATCAGTATAGGGGTCCCACATGGCGCACAGACCTCTCCTGCCGCCCGCTGCTCCCCTCAGCAGTGTACTTCCGTCCTTCTGCCTGCTCTGCTCCCCACTCTGGCTCTGGTGAATTCTCTCACCCTTCTCACTGTACCCTGTGCATGTATAAACAAACAAACAAACAAATAAATAAATAAAACATGCCTCTCTAAAAAAAAAAAAAAGAAACAATCAGTATACGCAAAAGAGACTCTTAATTTAGTATTAGAATGTTTCCAGGTTCAAGACCATAATCAAATATTTCAGTCTTCATTCAGAAGTTTAGGCTAAGACTTCTCTTACTCCCAGACACAAGGCTGCCTGTGGCTGGCAGCTGTTTGCCTTCAAGCTTTCTCCTCAACTTACATCTTCTTCCCACTAGCTGTTATTTGATCTGCTGTATAAAAGTGGTAGGAGGGAAGACAGCTAAGGGGATAGGGAAATTTTTTTTGATAGCAAGGGTCAGTCTCCCAACCCCTGATAATAAGAATACCTGAGTCTAGCAGATGGTTTCAGTTGATTCTTTTTCTAGTCTGATGTTTTTAAAGGTTTTTTTGGCGATTCCAACCACCATAGACCTCGTAAGTCCCTTTGGTATAAACAGGTGTAACCATCCCTGTGGGTCTTATGATTTCTAGCTTCTGGTCACTGGATCTTTGCACAACTCTAGACAGCCTTTTGCATGGACAGAGGGCAGCTCCATGTTACCTACTATGTGGGCAGCACTACTTTGTTTATATATTAAACATTCCTACTAAATATGGTAATGCCGGTGGATCCCTATGCAGCTAGCTCGACTTTGTGACTACTGCCTTCTTTATAGACAAAATTTCTGGTCCAGTTTCTGTGTTTTAAACAATGAGTAACAGTTTCTGAGCTCTCTGGTCCCACAGAAAGTCTTCTTTAGGATTGAGGAGAAGAATTCAACTCCAGCGCGGCCTTTCCCATTAAGTGGAACAAGTTGGAATTCAACAGCACAAATGTCTCACCAAGAAACCTCTTTATAAACCCTCCCTCTCTATGCTCTCATCGTCTCCACATTGACTTTGTACAGAAAAATTATATTGAAGTATAGTCATCTTTAATTGCAATTGACCATTTGCAAATCTGTCTCCCAACCCCTGATAATAAGAAAATATGTCTCCCCATCTGGCTTCCCTACACTGCTGAGCACAGTGTCTTGAAAGAAGTAGATAACCAGTAACGTTTGATGAATGGATGAATGAGTGGGCCTAAAAGTACTTTGGTCGAGCTTTACATTCTGAGACACTATAAAATTGTATGTATAGTCTATCTTATCACTGTCTGGAGAATCTATTCATTCCTGCATTTGTAAGATACTAGGAACTTCCCAGAATTTATATACCTTAGCATTTGCCAATCAACATCTTGAGAGCTGAGAAGACAACATGGGGTTGGGGGGGGGGGGAGGAGAAATCATCTTTTACAGGAAGAAATGGATAAACATGAGATAGTTCAGGTTTTTAGAAAAGTTATGGGATGTCAAATCAAACCTCAGAAAAAGAAAATTGCCCCAAATCTTCAGGAAATGAGGATATAGTTTATATCAAAAACCTAAAGCTGAACAAAACAAAGAAACAAAAAATTTGTGTTTTTTAATTTTTTTTACATCATTTTTCATTTTTTTAAAAAGATTTATTTTATTTATACAAGAGCCAGGGTACAGGCCAGATGCACGGAAGGTGAGAGGATTCACCAGAGACAGAGGGGGGAACAGAACAGGCAGATCTACTGAAATACACTGCTGAGGGGAGCAGCTGGCTAGTCAGGAGAGGTCTGCTCACCTCGTGGGTTGCTCCTAGGCATTGAGGATCCAACCGGCACTGCAGAAGCTGTGGACAGCTTCACAGCGCTGTGCTCAACATCCTGTACCACCAGGGAGGCCCTACCATTCTTCATTTTAAACAATATTTGCTTACCGCCCCCTCCCCCCAGGTGTAGTCCCCCTTCCCCAAGGCACCTGTGCACCATCACCACAATCCCCTGTGCTCCTCCCTCCCTCCTTCTAATCCCTCTCCCTCCTTCTCCCCTGCAGTATGTCTCTGATTTATAATTGTCTGTTTTTGCTTTGTTGTGTTTTGTATTGTTATTGTTTTTACACTGATGGGTTCCCCTATATTCCTGCTATAAGTGAAACCACTATTTTTCTTTTTCCTTCTGGCTTATTTCACTGAGCATAATTCCTTCTAGCTCCATCCACGTTGCTGCAAATGGCATGAGTTTATCTTTTTTGATTGCTGAATAATATTCCATTGTGTATATATATATATACCACATCTTCTTGATCCAGTCATCCATTTTTGGGCATTTGGGTTGTTTCCAGGTTTTACCTATTGTAAATAGTGCTGCAATAAACATGGGGGCAGAGGTGTTCTTTTAAATCAATGTTTTTGTGTCCTTTGGGTAGATCCCTAGGAGTGGAATTGCCAGGTCATATGGTAGCTCCATTTTTAGTAGACTGAGAAACTTCCAGACTTCCAGCTTTCCATAGTGGTTGGACCAGTTTGCACTTCCACCAGCAATATAGGAGGATTCCTTTTTCACCGCATCCTCACCAACATTTGTTATTGCTAGTTTTTTTGGTATGTGCCTTACTGGTGTAAGGGTTTTGTTTGTTTTTTTTTTAAAGATTTATTTATTTATGCATACAAGAACTGGGGTACAGGCCAGAGGTGCGGGGGGTCAGAGGATTCACCAGAAAGAGTGGGGAACAAAACAGGCAGATCTACTGAAATGCACTGCTGAGGGGAGCAGTGGGCAAGACAGGAGAGGTCAGCTGCGCTTGGGATAACTTCACAGTACTGTGCTTAACCCCTTGTGCCACCAGGGAGGCCCAGAAACAAAAAATTTGATTTAAAATATTTGACAAATGTTAACGAGTTAAATATAGGTGATGGATATAAGAACTGTTCATGCTACTATTCTGTCTAGTTTTTTTTAAATAAGTTTAAACATTTTTATAATAAAAATAACATGAAAAATTGAAGCTGAGAATCATCGTTATCTTTATACTATTTCAGAAAGTAGCCATCAGACGAGGCAACAGTGGAACCAGAGCTATGTAGCTCTTGCCATCTTATAATTAAGCCCTCACAGGTCCTATGAATATAGTAGGATGATAGCCATAAAGCTGTTCTTATTTGTGCTAGAGAGTAAGAACTTTCGAAGTAGGATTTGTTTGTTTGTTTATTCATTTCTTTATTTTGCTTAGGAGTTAGGTAGAATCAGAATTTATGAAACAGAAGGATATTTAGAGATTTCACCAACCCTCTCACTTTATAAATGAGAAAACAGATGCCCACAGAAATGAAATAATCATCAATCTCAGAGTCAGGACAAAAACCTAGATCTTCTGTACTCTGGTCTCTCTACTACCCCGACTGGCACATAACAAGAACGACACAGTACGGAGAGCACACTTCAGGTGCAGCCCTTCCACTTGCTGGGTCCTTAGACTATCATTTTTTGCTGTGTGCAGACAGGAACCTCTTCTTTGGTCCAGTGAATTCTCCGAGACAAAGCAGTGGACCCACTAGAGCTAAACATTTCAGTAAGATGAAGACCAGAGAAGCAGCCACCAACTCCATCAGTCAGTTGTGTGAATTGTGTTCAAAAACTACGGATAGTGTGAGGCAAAGCATCACCTTACTGGATCCAGAAAGAGGAAGACAGCAAGAGTGGGCCCACGGCATCATGGAATGCAATGTATTACATCTCGGCCTCTCACCTCATAATTCTCAAGCTAAACTGGTTCCAAGGCAATTCAGGAGAAAATATACCACTGGATTATTATTGCGAGCCACATAGTTCTAGACACAGGGATGGGAGTATGAGAGATACCATCTGAAAGTAGGTTAGATCTGGACAAGACAGGTAGGTGGTGTGATTTTTTTCTCTGTGATCTTCCCCATTGGTGATGGTAAGACTTAGATTTACAGAAGGGAACACCCCTCCCCCACTCCCACCCCCCCATTTTGGATCAGCACCAACACATCTATCTCTTGTCCCTTTGTTTGGAGATTTATTTTTATTTTTTAAAAAGATTTATTTATTTATGCATTCAAGAACTGAGGTACAGGCCAGAGGGGGTGTGTGTGTGTGTGTGTGTGTGTGTGTATTCACCAGAGACAGAGCCAGAAACAGAACAGGTGGCGCTTCTTGGTGCTGTGCTTTAATCCCTTGCGCCACCAGGGAGGCCCTGTTTGGAGATTTAATACACCTTAGGACCCTACTATGGGTTTCTGGTTTAGAAGTAATGGAGGTATAATCAGACTGTTCCATTTACTTAACTAATCAAACACCTTGGAACTCAGAAGAGCCTCACACCTCAGCGAGGGTCTGAGTTCGGTTCCCCATTCCCCCACATGAAATGTGTGGGTTCTGCTTTAGTCTCAGGATTAGGTTTTGATGCTTAAAGCAAGCTTATGGGGTGCTCTTCGTTAAACAGGCTTCCTGGCGGAATCCGCGCTTAAAATCTCAACAGCGAAGGTCAGCAAGCTTAGCTGTCCGCCGAAAGTGCCACGTTTCGCGCGCGCGCCAAGCTTCTACCGGAGGTGAGAACTTAACCGGCCCCCACACCAGGGTAAGCGCCGAGGGCGTCCCACGAGACTGCGCAGGCGCATCCCGCCCGGGGACACTCGTCAGTGCGCAGGCGCCATCCAGGCCGCTCTCCACATCCTGTAAACAGAGGGACCCGCCGGAGACAACTTCTGCTTCCGGGTCACGCCTTGACAGCCGCTCTCCCGGCCGGTCTCTGCCCAGCGGTTCGGTGAGTGCGGCCCTCGCTGCGGTCCTGTCTGCAGCCAGGTTCCCCAGCCCGGGACACCGCGCCCGCTAACGCTCCCTCCATTCCCCACTCAGGGTCCGCGAGCTCTCGAGGCTGAGACGTCGTTCCGGCCTTGGCGGGGACCGGGGCGGGGGTCGGTTCTCTCCTGCGCTCCCCTGGCGCAGATTGCACGACCCCCTTTCAGTGCCCGCACTGGGAGACCTACCGGGATTGCTGCGATCTTTTGGAAACCTATGCGGAAAGCGACACCGCGCGTCCCAGGATTCCGTGCCCTTGCCCGCCGCCCCCAGCCTTGCGGGACGAAGCTGCCGAGAACCCTCTCCCCGCAGGTGCGCTGGGGTCGGGGCGCCCCTAGCTGGGCGGAGGGCCTCCCTCGTCGGCACCCGAGCTGTTGAGTGCCGCCGCTCTCCCGCTGTACTTCTGACTTCATAATGAAAGCCCGTTGGTGTTTTCTCCGGATCCAAAGTGAAAGATAACGGGGAAGAGAGAACCGTCAGCTCCTGCAGAGGAGTGAGGCCGCTTGACAGTCAGATCGTCTCGGGGTCGCTGTCTGGAGATAGATCGCGGGCGGATTTCCTTGACCCTTCCTGACAGTGAATGTGGCCTGTGTGCTCCGAGTTTCACTCTTCACCAGGAGCTGCGAGGCCGCAGCAGGGGACCTCCGGTCATATTCTGCCTGGCGGTCAAAAGCGCCCCAAAGATGATCGTAGGGTTAGAGTTTTCACAGTCTCATGGTTCAGAAACGGTTAAGCCTTCCATGTTAGGCTCTGCCTTCTGTCCCATTCTTGCAACCGCTAACTAATGCTCCTCTGCTTTTTTCCCTTGCAACAAAGAAATATAAGAAACCCCTGTGTTTGAGGAGGTTAGCGGCTGTTGGAGAGATTAAGACATAATGCTAAGTCTAAACTATCTAGGAAATTTCGGACATTTTGTCTGTCTTTAGGGAAGGCATACTGTTGTCTGAGGTTATTCATCATTCAAGTGGGGACTAATAGCCAGTTTGAATCATTGATACTTATGAATTGAATGTTTCAAAATTTCATTCTCAATTATTGTATGTATTTTAAACATAAATGGCTACTGATCAGAAAAATAGAAATTAGAATTTATTACATAAGGGAATAATGTTACAAAAAGCAAAAATTACACAGTATGGAATTACCAAAATAAGTAAGAGTTTCCCCATATTAATCATCACATATATAATTACTGCAATTTTTAAATTTCTTAAGATTCAAAGTAATAAGCTTTACATTGGTTCAACAATATTTATTGAGAAACTCATGCACCAGGCACTATTGAAAATAACATTGTGTTTACCCCCAGGGATTCCTGAACAGTTACGCCTAGACAGGCTGATACTGCAGCACAATATCTTTGCTTAAGTTTTGATATATACTTTTTTAAATAGAAATACTACTCCTTGTTTGCTGTAATTTTAAATGTTTCCCAACTAGTGCATGGCTTGTAATCAGTCAAAACTTTTATTATAGTTAAATTTAAGTGTGTTGTGTTATTTCCTCTTCCTTCCCAGAGCTCTGTCATGTTGTATTTCAACATTTATTTGCCCAAATCTGTTTTTCAGTTGTCATGAACAGCCAATTACTAAATTTTTAGTTCTTTTTGTACTCTCAAATCTGCCTATTTGCCTACAATATCAATCAATGGTATTGGTGTGAACTTTAAAATTTATATAGATGACACCAGAGTAATTATAGTTTTGTGTCCCTTCCATGTTTTATTTTTTTAATTAATTTTTTATTTATTTATGCATACAAGAACTGGGGTATAGGCCAGAGGCGCAGGGATTCACCAGAGACAGATTAGGGAGCAGAGCAGGCAGATCTATTGAAATACACTAGTGAGGGGAGCAGCAGTTAATGTTAGGGGGAAAAGGCAGTCCCAAAGCTAATTCCATACAGGCTTTGTGGACTCCACCCCCACCCCAGTGTTAGGGGGAAAAGGCTGCCCCAAAGCAAATTCCATACAGGCTTTGTGGACTCCACCCCCACCCCAGGTCAAAGCCAAAGACACTGGGAACTCCAAATCCCATCGCCACCAAAGGGAAGGTGGCTGAGACCTGAGGGTGGGGTTAAGCAGCCAGGTGGATACAAAAGGCAGACACGTGGGCTTTGGGGGCGCTCTCCATTTTGGGGGCCCTCGGCCAGCTCGCGGTGTCCGTCTAGCTCTGAGAGTGACTTTGGGGTTTCCAGGTCGTCGGATCGGGTAGGACGCATTAAAGACTTTATTTCCCTATTTTCTCCCTGAGTTGTACATTTTCCTTATTTCTTTTTCTCTTGTAAATAAACCTTTTATTAACCCTTTTGCGTGTGTCTGTAGTAGAGTATTCATAAGTCCTTTTAAAGCGCGCGGGTGAGGACCCACAGCCAGGAACCCGTTTAATATCGGGGTTGCTCTATAACATTAAGACAGGAGAGGTTGATGTGCCATGTGAGTTAGCTCCCTGGCCTGGGATTGAACTCATGTCACAGTGACTGGCAATAGCTCGATAGCGCTGAGACTTTAACTACTGCACCACCAGGGAGGCCCTCCTTCCTTGTTTTAGAATATTTCCTCAAATTTTTTTTTTTCTTTGCTAGAGACATTTTAAATTATTGTACAGATGCCTGGTCATTACTAACAGACATATTTGTTCCATAGCCTTTTCCTTCTCACAGATAACAATCACTTCCATACCCTTCAGTAAAACAAAGAATATTTACTAAATATTTACTTTTGCAACACTTTGTGGCTATGAGCTTGGTTATATGGGCAAAAGGCAGAAGAAGTGGACCTTGCCTTCCAATTGATTACAATTTAAAAAGTGAAGCAATATGAACTTAATTATAGAGCAAGGTCAAGTGTAACAAATAGCCAAAAAGTAGTGGTGATACAAAGACCACAAAATTCAGGGGCGGAAGCTTTGTGGCTTCCTCAGCCTTTAAAAATTCCCCAGCTTGTCTATTCTTGTTTGTAAACTACACATACCTTCATGGGTTATTAGGGCCTTTGGGTGTTGAGGGGGTGAGGAGAAAAATCTCGTGGTAGACTAGGACCAAGAGTAGAACTGAGGTACTGAGACTCAGAGCACCTACACCCAAGTTACCCAGCTCCCTAAGCAATAATTGCTATTTATTTTCATATGATTAAGAAAAAAATGATGTTAATCGCCGATCTTGAGATTTGCTATTATTATTGGGAAGGCCCAGAACTCCTGACCCTAAAGACAGATATGCTCAGTGACACTGAGTATGCCTAAAACTTCTTTCTTTCAGGCACTTTGGAGCATGTGAACATACTCTGAGCCTTGATGAGTTCCAGTATGTGGTATATTATGCAGAGCATTCAAAGCAAATACTCTCTCTCAGAGCGTTTAATCCGAACAATCGCTGCCATTCGTTCCTTCCCACATGACAATGTAGAGGACCTCATCAGAGGGGTAAGTGTGTTGTTATGTACATGAGAGTCCATTGGGAGGTGAGGTGGGGACATTCCTGGGGAATCCTAATAAGATTACAGATTTGCAGCTTTGCCTCAGCACAGAGCATGGTCTTCTAAGATGTATTAACATGATCATTAAAATATATTTTCCCTTTGTTTTGCTTCTTTTCCCTTCTGCCTTTCCCTTTGTGTATCTGCTGTTTTTCTTCAGGTAATGTATTCTAGATAACCCAGTTCTCATCATCTTTGTGAAAGTCTGTGTGGGCTTGGTTTGTATGGGATCCAGCAAGCACAAATTCTTCTGTGTGCTAGGGAGGAAAGGGCTATGAGCAAAGCAGAAGTAGTTTTCAAATCCTTGTGGGTTTTGATGGTTACACGGAGAGATATTATTTGCCTTCTTCTTGAAAACAGCTATCCCTTTTATCTCTGTAGAGAATATCAACCCCTAAAAAGCATAATTTTTTGACTTAAGAAAACGCTTTAACTATCCGATACCTTACCACTGCACTCAGTAATTCTATATATGACTAGTCTCTTAGAAGGTCTTTGATATTGTTTTAAGTATGTCATGCCTGTTGAAAAGAAGTTATAGGGTAATTCTTTGACCTCTAGGAAATGCATCCAGATAGATACATCCATACATTCTCTTTAACAACTTGAGAATCGTTATTTATAGCCCGGAGCTCTGAGCTACTGAAGAGGTATATGGTACAGCCACATAACTGTGCCAGAAGAAAATGTCATAGAGCCTTAATTTGTATTAAGCAAAAGTGGTATCAGAGGAGTTTGTAGTAGAAACTCTGTCACGTTCTAATTCTAGCTCTTCTGCTGAGTCATTCAGTGACTTTGGTTTTCTCCATCTCCTTTATCAAATTTGAAATAGAAGCACCAGAAGGGGTGAGGTGGCAGAGAACTGCTGATACTAAGAGGCTATTTGAAGACGTTTGTAAACAAAAATATTACATTAAGATGCCCGTACTATTTGTGTCGGTCAACTGTTCAATAGCAAAAAGAGCTTGTCAGTTCTCCTGGCTTCGCTCTGGCAGACTCGCCTTCCTCTCTTTCAGCATGTGATGGCTATAGAAAGTGGTTTTTCTAACTTCCCTACCTACTGATCCAGTCCCCACTGCTCTTGCACATAAGGTTATGTCTTGAGTGATGTCCAATGACATCTGGCAGACTACCTTGTGGAGAAATTTATTCATCCTCATTGTAATCTCTTGTGTTGGATATTAGCATGATAATATTATTTAATAGGAATAGAAGCTGGAACTAGTCAGTTGTTTAAGGTATAGTCAAGAGTTAGAACCCTCTTGCTCCTGGACACATTATCTGAGGTTCACCCTGCTCAGTAAGCCAGAGCTAAGCACACTGACTGAAGTTTCCTTGTGCCCACAGGGAGCAGATGTGAACTGTACTCACGGCACACTAAAGCCCCTGCACTGTGCCTGCATGGTGTCAGATGCTGACTGTGTGGAGTTACTCCTGGAAAAAGGAGCTGAGGTAATGTTTTTAACTCTGTCACATTAATGAGTCATTAAAACTTGAGCTTTAGGGCCTCCCTCATGGCACAAGGGGTTAAGATGCAACCTATGAAGCTCTCTGCAGCCACTGCAGCACTTGTTCGATCCCCGGCCAGGGAGCTGCCCACATGGTGCAGCAGACCTCTCCTGTCTCGCCTGCTGCTCCCCTCAGCAGTATATTTCAGTAGATCTGCCTATTGTGTACCCCACTCTGCTTCAGGTGAATCCTCTCACCCCCCACACACACCTCTGACCTGTACCCCAGTTCTTGTATGCATAAATAAATCTTTAAAAAAATAATAAAACAAAACTTGAGCTTCACATTTTCTTAAAAATTTTGGCTTCTGACTTCCTACTTTCTAGCTCATGGCCTAGCTAATATCAAAGTAAAATGTTGTGAGAAATATATAAAATGATCCTAAGAATTTCATTCCTTTACCTTTCTTTTTTTTTAAAGATTTATTTATGCATACAAGAACTGGGGTACAGGCCCGAGGTGCAGGGATGAGAGGATTCAGTAAAGGCAGAGTGGGGAACAGAACAGGCAGACTGACTGAAAATACACTGCTGAGGGGAGTAGCAGGCGAGATAGGAGAGCTCTGTTGTACCATGTGGGTAGCTCCCTGGCCGGGGATCGAACTCGTGTTGCAGAGGCTACGATAGCTTCACAGTGCTGTGCTTAACCCCTTGTGCCACCAGGGAGGCCCTCCTTTGCCTTTCTTAAGCTGTCCATTACTCTAGGAAAAGGGAGTTTTATCTTCCCTTTCTCTCCCAACCAACTTTCTGGTATTGTGCTTTCCATTTAATCCACTCATTACCTCTTGACAGTCCAGGGATTTGTACATGCAGAGGCCCCTACATGTAAATCTAAATACTTTGAGACCCCTGTCATACATGCACTTCTAATACCACTGTCACTGGGAGATAAATGTCACTATGTGATCCCTTCCTCATGTTGAGGCTACTTGAGCTATTTCTGCTAATTATGTTCTTTTTCATGTATCTTGTGCTGGCTTTCTTTATAATGTCAGTGTCTTAAAATAAAAAAAAAAGATGAATTTATGTTGGCAAGAAGCAGTATAGCATAATAAATGATTTAAAGATTAAACTCTGGAGCCAGACTTTCTGGATTTGGATTCCAGTTCTGACACTTCCAGTTGTTTGACCTTGAACAAGTTACTTAACCTTTCTTTTGTCTCAGCTTCCCCACCTATAAGATGGAGACCCTCTCACAAAGTTATTAACATGCTTGGAGCACTGATGTATAAATAAATTAGCCTTTTTACTATATTTGTTAGCAGCCTTGAAGGTACATGGGCTAAGACACTCACTTTAGGCAGACATGCCATCAAGCTAGCATGCTGGGCCCAAACACACTTAGTCATAAGGAGTAACCCTAGTGTCCTCATCCACACAGTTGTGTTATTATTCTCTGCTTGCCGTTATCTATTACAACTTTTGTGAGTGACCCTGAAATGAAAGCCAGTGATTTTTGTCAATGATAAGAATGAAAATATCCTGGAATGAAAAAAAGTTTTTAGTTGAATAAAAGATTGAATTCTGTTAAATATCTGTTTTTCTTTATTGCATTTTATGGGGGGAAGATAATATGCTACTTATAAATTTGGGTTTTGAACTCTTTGTAGCATTCATAAATGATGTGATGCTTTTTAGCAAGCCAGCTGCTTATCCAGCATTGGAAAACATGTGCTTTTTCTTTCACATGCCTTCATCCAAGTTGTCTTGTGAACCAACAGCATATTTTTGCAAGGGCCTGACTTGGATACAGTAAAGCTGAAAATTGAGCTTTACTGTATAGTTAAAGAATTCAGCAAATCTACATGAGCAGAACTTTGGCTCATTATTTTTTCTGTCTGGCTGCCACTAGCCACAGTGTAGAGTTGGAATAAATACAATAATTTAAAACCTTTACTCTGGCTGTATATTCAAACTTCTTTCCAATAAATGCCTTTCAGGGTGGTTATGGGGACTTAAATTTCATCTTCTCTTTCTTTATTCCTTACACTAGGGATTCTAGTGGATAGTAAATAAGAACTTAGAAGCAAAAGTCTAAATAATGTAGGCCAGCTAATCAATGTCCATACTAGTGTTGCTTGTTTGGGACAGTTCTTTTCTTACTTGCTTCAGAGTACCTATGCTATTTCCAAGTTGATCACCAAGACTCCCTGGGGATTGCTTGTTAACCCTCTTATGCAGAGCATACATAGCAAAGGTAGTGGAGAAACACAGGTAAGGTGCTTTGCCCACGAATCTTCTTCTCAGAAGTCTGTCTAGCTGTAATCTAGCCCCTCCCTCATTACAGGTGAATGCCCTGGATGGTTACAACCGAACAGCCCTCCACTATGCAGCTGAGAAAGATGAGTCTTGTGTGGAGGTCCTGTTGGAGTATGGTGCAAACCCCAATGCACTGGATGGCAACCGAGACACCCCACTTCACTGGGCAGCCTTTAAGAATAATGCTGAGTGTGTGCGGGCCCTTCTAGAGAGTGGGGCCTCTGTAAATGCCCTGGATTACAACAATGATACCCCACTCAGCTGGGCTGCCATGAAGGGCAATCTTGAGAGTGTCAGCATTCTTCTGGATTATGGTGCAGAGGTGAGAGTCATCAACCTAAAAGGCCAGACACCCATCTCCCGCCTGGTGGCTCTGCTAGTCAGGGGACTCGGAACAGAGAAAGAGGACTCTTGTTTTGAGCTCCTCCACAGAGCAGTTGGACACTTTGAACTAAGGAAAAATGGTACCATGCCACGAGAAGTGGCCAGAGACCAGCAGCTGTGCGAAAAGCTGACTATTCTGTGCTCAGCCCCAGGGACTCTAAAAACACTGTCTCGCTATGCTGTGCGCCGGAGCCTGGGACTTCAGTATCTGCCAGACGCAGTGAAGGGCCTGCCACTACCAGCGTCTCTGAAAGAATACCTGTTACTTGTAGAGTAGCCTGGAGGAGACAACTGCACCATCAGGCAGGCAACTCTAGGTGAGGTTTCCCTTGGTACTGTCTTTGTCTTGGAAGACCAGAAAAGCAGTTGTTCCTGTTTTGTGGCTTATGTTTGAGGCAACATGTCACAACAGTAACCTTCACACCATCTCACCTCCCCAAACCAAGTAACCAAACAAAAATAATCCCTCGTTTTGTTTTCGTTTTCTGTGTATGGTTTACTTGGTTTTCTATATTGCACTCTACAAAAGAGGAGGCCTCACCCTCACCCTCCTTCTTAGGGAAAAAGTTAATAGCAACTAAATTTCTCTAAGAAGATGAAAAGTATTTGAAGATTGTGTGTTTGGTTTTCCCTTGTGGACATGATTAACATTTCAAAAGAACCCCTCTAGAAACATTTTTGTTCATCTGTAAAGATGCTTAAGAAAAGTTTAGCTAACAATTAGAGCCAAAGATGAAGACATTACCACTTCAAATGGTGTGCACATTCAGATTTGGACTGGGTGCCACCTCAGGGGGTATTCAGAAGGGGCTTGTCCCCCTTTCTCACCCTCAAAGGAAACAGCAGTCTTGGCATCCTTTGATGTGCCCAAAAGGGTTACGCTTTTATTTCAGAAAGATTGTCTTGTGCTGCTTTCCACTTAGAAGAAGGGGTAGGAGGTTCTGAGCAATCCTAAGAACTAAAAGCCCTAGAAATTTTTCTTCTAAATGCAGGTCTTTCTCTTTTTTGAAAGCCAGTTTGCTCTAATGGGCTTAGCAGGCACCGCAGATGAAGGTGTTTACAGTAGTGGTGGGGGAGGGGCTGGGTGGACTCCCTCACCCCCACCCAGGGCCTTTATTGCCTAGGAAGTTCGCTTTGCTAAGATTTTTGAGTTATATTGCTTTCTGTTGTTTTGGAAATTTTGCTTTTTACTAATCTATCCAAGGCATTGGGGGAGGTGTAGAGAATGAGTTTGAGGGGGAGGGAGCATTATGAGAGCTTCCTTTGAGATGGCCCACCTACAAGAAAGATCTGTTTTAGTGAATACTTTTCTTTTTCACTTCCTGAACTCACTGAAGTTATTAGTGATATTAGATGACCTTTATGCAAACTTGAAAAACCTTATTTAAAAACTGAGTGGGAACTACAAATAAAAATAAATGGAATCTGCTGACAATGCTAATTTGAAAAAGTATGTCTGCCTCTGCCCTTTGGCTGTTGGTATTTTTTTGCTCACTTAAAAAGAAATAAAGTTTTAAAACTAAATTTGGCATTTTCTCCTGTTCCTACTTTTTCCACAGTTAATCACCTGCGCCCCAGTGTCTCATCTTTGAAATGAGGTTATCACACCTCCCCTCACAGGCAGTTTTGGAGATTGAATGATAACAGTGCTTGATATTCATTGTTAATTTCTTTTCCCCTTATAAAACTGTTCAGAGAACATTTATTTGGCTGCTTTAATTCTGGACTCTGACAAGTCTTCTCCATCACTATTTTGTACTGTTTTTAGGGTATAGGAGTAATACTTGAACAACTAGCAAAAGCAATGTATTCAAGACAATCCCCTCCTCCACCCTGTAAAAGAAGCCTTCCTGCTTCATCAAGCAAGTGAAGAACTGTGTAGGTTCGGAGAAATGCATGTGCCTGTATCAAGAGTGAGAATCTCGTTACTAGAGGCTAATCTTAAACCTAGCATTTGCGGGCACCATTCTGTCAATTTGAGGTACAGTCTGTAGTCCCAGTCCTCAGGACCAGCTCCATTATGGGTACTTAGCTAATGAGAAAATTACAAAACAGAAAACAAATTGAGCTAAATAAGTGGCAACTCTTCAAAGCAGCATTTCAACCTACCTACCAAACCAGGTCCAGGACTGGGAGTGTCTTCTGTCCCAGGTTTTCAAATGTACATCTCCCCACAAATAAGACTCTGGCTGTCATTCGGGAAGGAAAAACCCTTGAATGTCAGAGCAGTAGAGATTGTGGAATGAGTGGGGAAAAAAGCAACTGACTAGTGGGCATATGATCAAGAGATAAAACACGACTTTAAACATAGGGAAACCAGAGTGGAGGAGGACCCCAGGACTACATTCTAGGACCCCATGTACAAAGCCAAGAGATGCTACAGAAACTAATGCAAGAGGTAGAGCGAAGTACACAGGGTGATCACATGGCTGCATTTCCCAAGTCTTCTCCCTGGGCAGAGTCTAGGGCTCTGGGCTGACAGTATTACATTCCACCGTGAAGACGATAACAGAACCAGAAGCAGTGGCATTTATTAGTGACCAGTTGGCATTTATTAGTGTAGTTATTTTTTTTTTGCCACTGTAGTGAAAGTTGTAGGGGAATGGAGACTTGGTTATCACAAAGAAATAAATAAAGCTTACTTTTAGGAAAATTTTAACCGAGTAACTGAAATGTAGCAGTAACACTAGAGGAGCCCAGCCTTGTGTGACAAGATGAAGCTGGGGTAGAAGTCACCACAAATTCTAACAAAAGGAGCTTCTAATTTGCCCCCTGCCAGAGTTGATCATGGCCACAGTTACAGAAGAAAAGGAAACCAAATGAAAAAAGAGCTAAAACACTTGAGAATAGATGGACTTAAATCTGTCAGCAGGTAAGTTGACTGTAATCAGACCATTCCCCCTGGCTCCAAAGAGGTTTAGACAGGAGCTTCTCCAGACCGCTTCCGACTGATGTGCTCCAGGTGGGCATGCTCTGAGGTGTCCAAGTCAATCTCATACTTGGCTAGAATTTTGAGGATGGGCCTCAGCTTCAGCCACCACTGTTCCTTGGGGATGCGATGCCTAAAAAGGAATGAGGTGATGATTTCATCTTTTAGCTCTCCAATCAACTACCAGAGGCTAATGGGCTAGATTTAGAACATGCACATCTGATCTGAAATAGGTAAGACAAGATGTGTTACTCCTAAACCAAAAGGACTAAAGACAATGAACAGGTTGGGAAGAGTAGATCTTGAAACTACCAGGGAAGGAATTGCTCTTGGAAGATGTACTCACTCAAAATCTGTCTGGTCCTTCAACTCAGTCACAGGTTGAAAAACCAGGGCCCTCTTACGCATCCCCAGGACACAGCCAGAGTCTGGGGTATTGGCAAAGATCCGTCCTGCAACAAGGTACTCAGTCAGCTTCGGCACTGGGGAACCAGCACCTACAGAGGGAGCTCACCGTCTTACCCCACCTACCGTTACGGTAGCTCTCTTTGATTTTCCCGGACATCCAGTTCATAGCTTTGGCACCCATCTTAGTGGCAAAATTTCTGTCAAATGGGGTTGGGCTCCCACCCTGGAAAAAGGATCACAAAAATTAGAGAGAGGAGGACTTTAAAGAAGTGACAGAGATATCTGAGTACACAGAGAAAAAGGAAAGAATGGGCCCTGGGTTTATAACTAGAAACGGGAATCCAGAAGTCTAATTATAAAAGGAAATCCTGAAATCCTGAAATGTGCTGGGAACCAGCTGAGCCTACTCAGCATTCCTGGCTATTGGTCAGATAGAAAAGAACCCTAATTAGGTAAAGGGGCGAGTGATCTCATGACTGACTCTCCCAACTGGTAGCTGCCAGACCCTGTCCACTTACATCTAGTCATAGTGGCTGCTAGGGCAACTCCTTGCCCCTCTTCAACCTAACCAGCTCTTGTCAGTCACCATCACTAGTGACACAAAGTATTCCTGTGACCCAATCTAGGTGCCTTTGTAGCACTGCTGAATAATATAAAACATTGTGCAGGTTTCTCCAAAGTAAGAGAAAGTAGATGGGAAAGTGAGAAGGAAGGAAAACCAGAAAACAGGCCCTCATCCTTTATCCAAAAGTACCCCATTCTTGCAAGGGCTGATAAGCTCGTCAAACTGAGGTATTTGGAATTCATGTGAGGAGATAAAGGTCAAGGGCTAGTGCTTAAGAGGCATCAGCTAGGGATGTTTGGAATAGGGGAGGCCTCAGACCACTGGTGCATCTGTGAGGGATGCCTATTGTGGCTGGGGAAAGATGAGGGGGGCAGAAAGATTGAATGTGGGTGTCCCCTGGAAACCTGTAAATGGAGATGGAGCCCAAGGCCAGCAAGGTGCCTACACTCATTCAACATGTCCCTGTGTAAGGCAGCATGGTGCAGTGGGAAGGGCACTGGGGTAGGTACACTCTGGGTTTTATCCAAGCTTGGTAAGCGGACCTGAGAAAATTATTTCTCCTCTCTGTCTCTTCATCTGAATCAGCAGTTTTCAACTGAAGACAATTGCGCCCCCAAAAGTACATTTAGCAATGTCTACAGACATTATTTTAGTTGTTTTAACTCCGAAGGGAGGTGCTACTGGCCTGTAATGGAGTCCAGGAATGCTGCTACACCATCCTGCAAATGCACAGAACAGTCACCACAACCCAAACTGTGCAGCCCCAAGGAACAGTGCCAAGACTGAAAAACCCTGGCCTAAATGAGACGACAGATCACATAATCTTTAAGGTAGCACTAACTGCACAGCCAGAGGCCAGTGGGAGCCACAAGGGCTTTGGGAGGGTTATGGAATCGAATGAAGGGCATGATTGGGGTGTCTTCTCTACCTGCTGCATGTGGCCAAGCACGTTCTTCCTGCTGTCGAAGATGCCCTTTCCCTCCTCAGAGTACAGGTTGAAAATGAAGTCGGTGGTATAGTTCTCATTGCACTTCTCATTCCTGCAGGCAGAGGCGAAAAGTCTGTGGCTCCAGTTGTCTCCCCATCCCTCCACCCTCTCTCTACCTTATAGGCTTTGTTCTTTCCTTTCCAGTTTCCTCCCATAGTTCAGGTCCCCCCCACTGTCTCCATAGATTCCCCAGGGTTAGCATGGATGCATGCTGTGGGGGAAGCCTGACTATTATTTCCCTTTGTTTAGGAACAAACCACGGAGGAGGTACCTTAACACCAAACCCCTTTTCACAGTTGTTTTCATCTTTTGCACCAGATGTTCAACATTTGCCTGAAAAGAAAACAGTAAATCCTAAGCCTACCTGGGCATAGATAAGGTTGGTTAAAGCAGAGAGCTCTTCTACCCAACCAGATTCCCCTAGGAGGGAGAGGAGCACAGAAAGAGAGTTGTGTCTAGTGCAGGCTCTGAACTGTGCATAATCCGTTTAAGAAGCTCAGTTCAGAAATTCTGTCTCACTTCAACAAAGACAGACAGAACTGGAAGAAAGTAAGTCAGAGACTGTTGGGGTAACTCAGTTTTCAGCACCTTTCTACCCCCTCCCAGATTCCCTTTCCAGAGGTTTCTGGTTCCCCTTCCCTCAGGGTCCGACTCTGCCTTCAGTGCTCATCTTTAAACAGGAGGTTTGTTTATACAGCAGTGATTTACCTGGGAGGATCCAGTTTCTTCCTTTGGGCTTTGAGCTGGGGGTAAAGGAAGACGCCTCCCAACCTCCAGTCTTGGCAGGGTTTGGCTAGGTTCTTATATTACAGAGTTCCCTTAGCCTGTCCCCCTATACTTTCTGGCTCTTTTTCCTCCAGAGAACTGGGATCTTGGGAAATCAGAAGCATATGGTCCATCTGTGAAATAAGAGTCAGAGCTCCACCCCAGAGGTGCAAAGGTAGCCCTATCAAAAATGGTACAAAAAGAATATGCTTTGGTAACAAGGGAAATCTGGAGGGGAGGCTGATCTAGTCGAAAAGTCATCAGCTTTCTCAATCAGTTAAACCACCTACTCACTTATGAGTCTAGAAAAGTATTTGAACCTTGCTAACACTTTCTCATCTGTAATAACAGAGATAATATCTCCCTCCCATGTGTGTTGTGAAGATAAATTGCAAAACACACATGTAAAGAGCTAAGCAGCGTTCCGCCCTTCAGAACGAGAGCCATAACCACAGGCAGCAAGGCCGCATGTGGCACTGGAGGCCTGCCTGGTGCTCCTGCCAGCTCCACACCAGTCAGCTCCGCTTCCTCTTGAGCTCTCACAATTCAAGGGGACATTGTGACATGAGGGATAGATTGGGGTGGGAGAGAGCTACCTAGCAGGCTCTGTGCTGCTGTTTACCTGCAGGTCTCGGATGGTAAAGGGCTCCTCAAAAATGTAGGCAGCATCAGCCCCCGCTGCCAGCCCTGCCATGGTGGCCAGGTAGCCGCAGTAGCCGCCCATGGTCTCGATGATAAACACCCGGCGCTTGGTGCCTGCCGCTGACTGCTTGATGCGGTCACAGGTCTGCAAAACAGCAGGTCATAATTAGAAAGCTAGGCCATGGGTCTGATTCCTGTCTCTGCCCCTGCACGACCCAGCTCTGGGACTATCGTCTCCCCAGGCCAGCAGGTTCTTGCCTTCAGGGACAGCAGGCACATTTGTCAACCACATGGTCGCTCTTTTTTCTATTGTTCAAAAGTAGGGAAATGAGGCTGTGTGACCTTAGAATGGAAAAAACACTTGGTGTGCAGAGTATGGATGCATTTCTAGGTTAGAGGACTAGTGCAGTGAGAAGGAATATTGTATGTATGGCTCCACAGGTCTGTGTAAATACCTGTAAAGAAGCATTATTCAAACGATGTCACTTGGTTGGTATAAAAAAAGGAGTTCCCCTTCTAGCCACACTTGACCCAGACAAGAAGGCGCAGCAGCGGGGGGGGGGCAAGGGTGGGGGCGGACCTCACCGTGCAAATCGTGTTCAGTGCTGTGTCCGCCCCGATGCTGAAGTCTGAGCCAGGGACGTTGTTGGAGACCGTAGCAGGAATGACCACAAAGGGGATACAGAGCTCGTCGAACTGCTTCCTGCCCTCCATCAGCTCCAGGCCCCCCGTGTAAGCCTGGAAGAGACCGGCAGGGGCAGGTGTGAGGGCGGGTACAGGAAGGTGGGAGCAAGAGAGGAAAAAATGGTAGGGGCACTCACCTCAAAGCCTCCGATGATGATAAGGCCCTGAATGTTAAACTTTGTAATGTTAGCACTGATCTGTTCAAAGCTCTTCTTGGGCAGTGTCCTAATTAACGGGAGCACCAAGGTAACGAATTTGGGGGAGTGACATAAAAATTAAGGGAGAGAAAAGTCAGAGCTAAAAGGCACTTGATCATTTCTGGACATGTGTCCCAGTCCCTAGTCCAGCTCTTACTGCTGCCCAAGGCCACACACGGGGCCCTTAAGTTGCCAGAGTTGCTAAAAGATGTTCAGACAGGCATGTCTACCTTACAGGAGCCACTATAAGCTTGGGGGTAGAGAACCCACACGAAGCTCTCCCTGACCTAATGAACTGATGCCAACAGTTAAGGGACATTTAAAGGATGGTTCTGGGAAGGTACTCCTGATATGCCACTTGCCTTTTAGTCCCAAGTTTAGAACCACCTTGGCCAGTCCAGCCCCCGACGTAGCTCCAACCAGCCTCCTCAATCTGAAGGGAAAAGTCATACAGGTCAGCATGTGGCTGACGCTCCAGCAGACCAATGTGTGACTGGCATGACCTCCTGGGTTCCACCCCAGCAGAAACCCCCTATTGAGCGAAGAACACTGGGGACTAGCTTTTCCCTCCTTGGGTAACTTCTTCCATTTGTATTTCTCAATCACCTACTTGAGTAGGTACCAGGCATCGTGCAAAGTTTTAGGATAGAGAATTAAATAGAGCATGTTGCAAAGGGTTAATTTCAGTGGTGCTTGTCTATTGCTACTGCCCAAACATCAAATATCTACTTCTGCTTCAACCTGAGAGAGGAGAGAAAGGCAGTGAGGAGCAGGGCTAGGAAAAAGAATGGAAAAGTCACCCCTGCTATACATATCTTCACACGACTACTCCCTGAACCTCAGGGCAGTGCCTCCTGCCTTCCCATCCCCATACCTGACCCTTGGCCAGACCCTCGAAGCCATCATGCACGACCAGCACTCGGTTGCCCTGGATGAGGCCAATCCTCACAGTGGAGCGAACAGCAGCATTCATTCCTGCGGCCGGGGCCCCCACATTCATCACAGCCACTGTGTGCAAACCAGTCTATAAAGAAAGCAGAGAGGAAGCAGGGGAAACACAGGACGTAGAAAGTAAAAGAAGCTGAGTCCCTTATGGTCCTTAGATCAGGACATCTGCCTCTGACAACACACACCCCTCTCTGAGGGCATGCCAGTGCAGCTGGGGCCCCTCATACTACAGAAGCAAAATTCTCTATCACAAATCAATAACCCAAGCTGCTGTCCCTGATCCCAGCTATTACTACATAATGAAGACGAGACCTTCCAAAGCAGCCTTCCTGAAGTGCGACCCTTGGACCATGCATATCAGGATTCATCCAGGGAGCACATTCCTGGCCCCTACTCCAGATTTGAAGGAGGGACCCAAAAATCTGCATGTTTAGTAAGCAACCCAACTGATTTTGATGTACACTAATATTGTAAACCACCCTTCTGATGGAAGAAGTAGCTTAAACATATTCAGATGTTGTTACTCCGATATCTGCACAGAGAAAATGACACATAAGCTGCCTTTGTCATTCCTTGCATGCTATCTTGTCAACCCTGCATTAGATGTGGGTCTTAGGTTAGAGATCTAAGAGACTGGAGACCTTCAGGGCACAATGAGAATAAGATAAGTATCTTAGGGTCAGCAACTCAGCACTGAAGATTACACTGGGGGAAAGAAGTTGACAAGGCCAGTAGGTCATATGGATTAGGAGAAGCACTTCATAAAGCTAGAAAAAGCTAGGAAAAGGTCAAGGGGAAAGAGTAAATTGCCAGTACCTTAGATACTGGGGGCCTGACATGAGCCAGAAGCTTGTACACTTCCCAGTTGTTCATGAAACTCCTGTAAAAAGTACAAAGTCATTCTGCATGGCCATCAACCAAGGGACCCTGGTCTGAAGCTCTGTTCCCAGTGTGATGTTCCAGATGGCAAACTTCTAAGGAAATAACTGGGGCACAGCAAGAATGGGGCAGTCACTACAAAATGGGTCACTAATTCATCAGGCACAAGAGAATGCCCCTTCCCTAGAGAAACATGTAACTAGCTGCCACACACAGAAATAAGAGATTATAAAGGGTAGATGCCACAGAAGGCATCCTTGGGGGCATATAGCTCCTGGTCACCTCACAGTTAATTCTTTGGGGGAAGAAATGGTTGCAGAGATAATAAGAAAAGGGTCAAAAGCTCAAATTTTGGGTCTGAAGCTGTGTAGACTTTTCACGTGATTTCAATATCTAATTTCTGTAGCTAAAGGCTTCTGGCCAGTTCCTCACCGGCCTCTCAACTTCATGGCTTCATCAAATTTCTTCTCATCCATGGCCTTGGTCACATCTTTGGTCTGAAAGAGAGACAGAGCACAGTCACAACTTCATGCAGGGGTTTTCACAGATGAATGTTCATGATACTTTGCCCATCTCTGCAGCCCATCTTTTCCATGTCCCTAAACTGTCACAGAACTAATAGTTTTTCCTTAATTTTCTGAGTAATGTGTAGCAAAAGAAAGAGCTATTTAATGCTCTATTTATTAAAATGTGGGCACAGTGGAGGAACAGCATCTCCCCCCATTCCACTGAAGATGACCAGCCTCAAAGTCATCTCTAAACTAGTGAGTAAATGAAGAAGATCCTGCAGATAACCAGTTAGGAAGAAGGGCTGATCTCTGACATGTGCTTTCTGACCATTGACTTCTGCTCTGTGAGTCAGTGCCTTAGCACTGGAATTTCCAGAGTTTGAAGACAAACTTCCAGGCAAGGCTGGAACTTGTCTGGGCTGTATGTAGGTCATAGACTCCCAAGTTTGAGAAAGAAGCAGTCCAGTGGGTGGGGAGCCAGCCCTAAGAATCACTCAGACCAGCCCTGAGAATCAGGCCAGTACCTGAGCTCCCAGCCACTATGTTCATTCTATGAACGTCTGGAAGAGTGACTGCTCCAGAATAAGAGCCACAGTTGCGTGAACAGTGGATATTTTCCAGACTGCACCAGACACTTTAACTATATTTTCTCCAACCCTTATAACAATCCCCATGGTGGGTATTAGTAACCTCATATTGGTTTTACCATGTTGTTCAAGATAGAAATCAAAGAGATACAAGTTTCTCAGTCAGACCTTAATAATGCTCCCCTGCTCCTAGAGAGTTTGGAGAGAGATTGCATTTCTCATCCAATAAAGACATGAGGAAAGGTTTTAAGGTCACATATCTGGAGAAATTGGTTCTCAATACTAGGTAGGATATAGTCTCTCATGCTACAGATGAGGAAAATGAGGCTCAGAGAGAGGGTACAGCTCCTGTACAAAGGCCACTGTTCTCTCCCCACATGCCTCTGACTACACCACGCAGCCTTTCCAACTGCTCCTGGGTGGAAGTCGGTGGCCCTTTCAGTGGCCCTGGAAGTTGGTCTCATTCCCTATAAACTCCAGCTCAAGTAATAGGTACTCAGGGTTGTTGGGGTGGTGGGCTGTGGTCAGTACTCACCACCTGTACACATTCCATGAGGGGCAGGCGCACAGCCTGGTTACCAGAGAGGCTCACTACACAGGCTGGGGTGTCTGGGGTCCCCTCCAAAAGTGCCATCACTGCTTCTACACCCATCCTGCTGCCCTGTAGGGGACCAGGGAGGAAAGATAGTCTGGTTAAGGTCTCCCTGTCTCAGCCTGGCTTGAAGACCCAGTGCACTCAAGGCCCTTTCCAAATCACAGGGTTGAGTTCCACACTTAAGGACTGCAGCCAAGAACTTATGGATTTTACTTCCCTACCCAGACTTCATCTAAATTTTGATGACATTTTGTCCTCTTGCCATCAGAGGACAAAGGATTACTTTGGCTTAATAAATGCCCTTCTTATTGACAAAACAAGGAAGGATTGTCTTTCTCTTCCACTGAAAGTTGGGTAAGTGGATTCACACTAAGGTTAGAGCCTCATAATTTCACTAATGCATAAATCTCTAAGATACCTGGTGTCATCATCAGAGAAGCATATAGTTTCCTATTATTTTTTGTAATAGAAGAGAACTCTTGAGTATATGGAATAGGGTCAAGGGTCATGGCAACCAAGAGACTAATGGTGGGAGGCATGGCCAATGGGGTTAAGCCCCTGTCCTGGTGAGTGGCAGTCCTGCCACAGGACAACAACCTGAGGGTTCTCAGGTGTGAGGGCCATGAACCCTGTGACTTACCAGGATTCGGTCAAAGGCTGATGGGGTTCCACCCCGCTGCACATGCCCTAAGACGGTGACCCGGGTATCATATCCCAGACGTTTCACCACCAGCTGAAGGGACCAAGAAAGGGACAGAGAGAGGGATACATAGAGTCAAGAAGAGAAAAAAAGGATGACTTAGCCTCTGGTAATGATTCCTGGAAAGGAGAAAACCAGGGGGAAGGAAACCTGGGAAGAGATGTGCAGAAGGACTAAGGGAAGAAATCAATAGGGAAGGGGCCAAAGTTGGGTATGGTAGTGAAGGCCCCTCCGGCTTCACTCATACTAACATTCTTGATGTCTTCTGAGGTGATTGGTTTCCCATTCTTGTCAATGGCACCCTCAGCCACAATGATGATGTTGAGACGAGAGCCACGTGTCCTTGTCTGATCAAGAACAAAAAGAAAAATGATTGGTGGAATAAAATTGATGGATGGGAAATGAATCATTAGAACAGGGTGAGGATTTTTTAGGGCAAAATGAAGTGCAAATACCTCACTGAGCCGGCGACAAAGATGTTCCTCCCAGTCATCATCTGGTGGACATTCAGGAATAAAAACCCAGTCAGCCCCACAGGAAAGAGAGGTAACAAGGGCCAGGTAGCTGAAATGAGACCCAGAAGTATCACTGGACAAATAGCCTCACCCACACCCAACAAGATCACCTAGTCCTGGCTGGTGAAAGGTCTGCGAATCCATTGGTTTCTCCACTGAGAACCCAATGAAGCTAAGAGCACCATGAAGACAGCTTCTCAGTATGAGCCTCTCCAACAAAAGTACCTTCTCATCTGCCACATGGTTTCCAATTTGGGCGCAGCATCTTATGCTTTCACATGGCACGTGTGCCTGTGCACGCACACACACATTCACATGTGCACATCCAGGTGCACAGGGAGGTGGAGTAGAGACTGGGAAAGAGAGCCACACCAAGAAGAGCATATACACCCCCAGATCTGCTGCCAGATCTGAGAGATCTCTCTGGGGAGGAGGATCTCTGGAGAGGAAGAAAGGGCTACTGTGGATCCAGAAAATAATGAGTCGAGATGGGGATCTTACCCACAGTGCCGGCCCATCACTTCTAGCACAAATGTCCTCTGGTGGCTGAAAGAAAGAGACATAGGGTTACACAGTCCAAGTGTCCCCAGGGCCAGGATCAAGCCGTCACTCACACCAAGGCCATGTAATCTCTTTGGGAGATGCAGTTATGCTAGGCCTTCTAGTGAGGTTCCTGAAAGACCAGGAAGAGCTTTAGGGTGCTTTTCCTATGCCTGATAACAGTAAACGGGGAAAGAAGTGAAGAGGAGAGAACTATACTAACCCAAAACCCTTGAGGACTACTTTGAGGTGAACTGTCACCCTCCCACACGCCGTTTTCCAAAGCTGCCTTCTCCAAGTGCCCTGACCTCTGAGCAGGGAAAGGGTGTTCTCACTAATCTCTATAATTAGGTTGCGAAGGGTAGGTTAGGTGTGGGATTCCCTGGATTTATTTCGATTCAGACACCAATAATTTAGGAGACCCCAAGATATTAAAACCCCACAGCTACAAGTTTGGACACTGGCCAGACAGAGGCAAGAAGCATATCTTATAGCACCCAGAAAGTGTAATCTCACTGCTTTAGGGATAATTCTTACCTAAAAATCATATCCTGGCTTGAAAACTGGTCACCAGAGCTCAAACAGTTTAATCTTATCCAGCCCCCAGCCCTCTAGCCTGTCCCAACTGCCACTGTCCTCCCCCAGCCCCCTCACCTCTGAGCAGTGGTGGTGATAGCATCTACAATCTCTATGATCCGGTGCAGGGCAGAGTCAGTACCAATGGTCATATCAGTGCCGCAAAAGTCATTGTCAATGGAGCCCACCAGGCCCACGATGTTCAGGTAGCTGGATTTCTTGGCCTCCTCAGCTGTGATCTTACCTAACATGGGAAGCAAACCAGAAGCCCCTGGGTGAGGTACCTGGCACTCCTAAAGGGCAGATTACTGGAGAGAGAAGGAACTGTAGCTAATGGGAATTGTGACCAATGTCAGAAGGAGGGCAAAGGCTGTCTACTTGTGCCTGGACAATGATTTTCTCCAATGGGGGATAAGGGGAGTGTGTGTGCAGATACACAATACTGATGAGAACAATGTCTTACCAGATTTCTGGAGGTCACTCAACAAGCCACTCCACTCAGAGCGGAAGGTGTCAGCCCCAGTGAGACTGCCATCACCCCCAATAACACACAGATTGGTAATCCCACGCTTCACCAAGTTTTGGGCAGCACGAAGTCTTCCCTCTCGCTCCCGAAAGTCCTTGCACCGGGCACTTCCAATCACTGTGCCTCCCTTTTGGGAAGAGGTAGAAGTCAACTCCTCAATTGACACAGTCAAACTTGGGTTCAACAGCTAAGAATTTCCCTGTTTCAACATTGTGAAAGGTTCACATAACCACGTAAATGGATCCCTAGGAAGTTAGTTCCCTGACATGCTGAAGAGTCAGTTGTTGGGAAGCTGACTTAGATATCAGAGTGTTCCTCTATTTTGCTAATATCAACTCATTTTATTGAAGGCTTTGCCATGAAAGTGATTATCCTCAGTGAGAACAAGGAATGCAAACATGTCTATATGCTTTTGAAATAATCTGTCTTTCATATCTTGAAAGTATAGGAAGAAAAGTGACTTCACTCTTTAGAAAGTCTCCCGTGTGAACTGACATTGCTGGACTATGTCTAAACTATTACCAGGAGTTCATTCCCAAGTGCTCGGTAGTAATGTTTCCTTCTCTAACACAGGGCAATTTCTAATGGTAAGCAGGCATTGCCAATCCTTCTTCCTTTGCTCCTTGGGATCGATGGTGCTAGTGGAAGAGCTACATAGCCAGGTGTTTACAGGCAAAATGGCTCTAGGCACAGAAAGGCTGAAATTCCCAGGGGCTCATAGACACCGCAAGTGAGGTAAGTATATTTAGGGTTTTCAGTGGTCATAGAAACTCCTGGCATCCATGACTTTGGGGGTGTTGATAGAAAATTCTGATCTTGGCTTATTCTCAGAACACTGTCTCAGGCACCACTGCCTATAGGGACTATCCACTAAGCCCTGTATTTTTTATTTCTTCCCATGAATTTTTAGGGAAGACAAAGAATAGGGACACAAATATAATTTGCAGACCTTTCAATAAGTCAAAAAATGGGTATATAAAGTAGCAAAAAGGGTTGGGATATAATGGGGGTAATCTTTGTTTTTTTCTGAAAGATTCTCTTGGTCTTTTCCTCTCTTAAACAGTGTGATTTCAGTTTGCCTCATCACCATCACATGCACACTGGCAGGATTCAGCTCTCCTTTTGGCTCTCCAGTAAGGTTATTTTCAGGACCAGACCATCTCTCTGAGCCCAGAGCAGGACTTGCTATCATGCCAGTTCCCCACGTCGTGCCTGTGACCTTTCTATAAAGAGCAAACTGTCCTGTGATCTCACCCCCCAGCCTATGCTGCCCCAGGAAACTAGTAGGATGTTTGCAAATGCAAAGCGCGAAGGGCAAACACAGCCCCTCACTTGTCACTGAATTCCTTTCCATTAAACCACATGACAAGGAATCTGGGAAACCATGAACCCAAACCAGAGTGGTATGAGACAAGGACAAGACAAATGTGGCACAAGAGTTCTTTGGAACATACCAGCTGGAGCATCATCGAAACACTCTCCCAGGTGGCTTCCCTGATGTGGTCTCCGCCATCCACCAGGCCTTGATAACCCTGTGGGGCACATTATATCATTCAGCCTCTGCTAGGCTTCCCCTTGAACTCCCAGGATTAACACAGGATCCCTGGGAAGAGGTTCTGTGAGCATTAGGTCACCTCCTACCATTAGTAACTCCTGGGGATTGACTCCTGGATGCTCGGGAGACAACCACATTCAACATAGTCCAAGCAAGGAGATATCAACTTTTCAATACTCTCTTCTAGATTCTCCCATTCTTGAAATATCAGGATGTTTAAATCCCTAAATTTAATCTTAATTCCCCTTATTTTTGGCTTATCCTATTTCCTTCAATCTGCTTCCCAGAGGAACTAGATAACAGATGGTTTGGATAACAACAAAGGAAGAAGAGAGGGAGGGAGAGACAGAAACATGACTTGAAAAGATAAGAGAGTATAAAACTTGAGGGAAGAAAGGCAGACAGACTAGAATGAGAGAGAACTGAGAGAAAAGAACCAGAGGACTCAGAACTTCAGAAAATCAAATGACAGAAATATGTGATTCTTTCCTCTTTTTTCCTTTTTTTTAAAGATTTATTTATTTATTTATACAAGCACTGGGTACAGTCTGAAGCGCGGGAGGGTGAGAGAATTCACCAGAGCCAGAGCGGGGAACAGAACAGACAGACTGATGAAATACACTGCTGAGGAGAGCAGCGGGTGGCAGGAGAGGTCTGCGCGCCACGTAGGACTCTCGCCGGTGGTCGGGGATCGAACCGGCGCTGCAGAGGCTGCAGGCAGCTTTTCAGCCCAGTGCTCAACCACTGTGCCACCAGGGGAGGCCCAAGAGATTCTTTCCTCTTTAAGCTCTATCTCTGGATATACTTAATTCGCTGTGAAATACTAACTCATTTCAGTTTTCCTCCCTGCTTTGGGTTAAGGCAGAGCCCATCTGCATATGCTGGGACATATGTGGACATATCACAGGAGTAGGCAGGAGTGACTCATGAAGAGAAGAATAGCCAAATCAGACAGAGCTTTGTAATTGGGAGAGAAGAGAAGGGAGGAGGGGGCAAAGGTGATGCAGAAAACAGAGAAAGTATGAGGGAGAACAAATTAGAGAACCAACCTCATGGACAAAGAAGACACGGGCTCCAGTAAAGATTCCAACACGAACCACAGCCCTAACAGCAGCATTCATACCTACAAAGAAGGAAGAAAGAAGTCAGGAAGAGGTTACTCCCCAGAAGAGCAGCCCTAGACTCCTACACGAGATGGTACTCTTCTTAGGCTTTTTTCTGAGCCTAGAATGTTCCTCTCCTGCAAGTGCTTTGGTCTTCCCACTAGCATCGAATTACTATGTTAGTGTTAATGTAGCTCCAGATACCCCCTCACCTTCCCTCGTCTCCAAATCCCTTCTTTCCTAAGACCTCTTCTATAAGGAATTCCTTGGGGAATCACCATCATCAATGTTTATTGTGGGTTAGACACTGAGAAATGCTTGTCAAACATCACTCCCTTAAATCTACAACCTAGGAATTGCCACCATTTTCCAGATTTGGAAACTGAAGTTCAAAGAGGTCAAGATCAGACTTAGTACTCTTAGAAAACAGATTTGAATCCAAGTCCTAAAATGTTTAAACCAGACTACTGACTTCCCTGCTGTGCCCTACTAATCACAGTGGCGGGACTAGGTTTTTCTTGCCTTCTGCACTAAATCTAGATCTCCCACTTGATAGACTTCTGGGGACAAAGACATGACCTCCTGAGGTTCGGTATCCTGACCAGTCACTGCGTATATCCATTCCTGGTTAGCAGATTCTCCCAATCTCCACACACACACAGCTTTTTAGTGTCATTTGAGTTGTCCCATTAAAGACCACACAGTGGAGAGTCTCTGGCTCCCACACTGCAGAAGAGGCTGTGACCATGCGTGCAGGAAGAATTAGTGGGGACTCTGCTCTTGCTGACTTCTCCTGTGCACCTCCCTCCTGTGATCCTATATAAAAGGTGGATATGAGGAACTTAAAATTATGCTGTAAATTATTGTTTCCCTGGAGAAACAAGGAGGACTGAAACACAGAGGAGAGTTTTTCTCCTTCGCCCTACATGAGTACAATCTCTTTCCTACTAGCTGCTCAAGAACTGAACTGTCTCTCCTGAGAGTTTGTTGCTGTGCGTGCCCTCCTAATCACACTGGCTGTACTAGGATTTTCTTGCCTTCTGCACTAAATCTTGCATGGAGCTAACCTGTCACAGAGTGACAAGTAGCTCCACATGGGAAATAAGGCTGCTGATATAGTGCCGAGCACGACCACACTGTTTTTCATTGGTGAGGATGGAAAACACTCCTGGGTGTTGATACAGGTAACTGTGCCCTATAAAAAGGGGCTAACGGTGCTGCTTAAGGAAATCTTAGAGCCAGGATGAATTAATATTTCATGAACAATTTTAGCCACCCTCCTTCAGATACTCTAGTACATACTTTTTGGGTTTTTTTGTTTTGTTTTGTTTTGTTTTTTGCCAATCTAAAAATCTATTCATGTGGCCATTAACCCTGCTTGGAGAAATATCATACACCTGTAAGCACCAAAGAAACCAGTAAGTGGAAAATTCTACAGGACCAGACTAAAATCATCACAAACTACTGCATCTTCCAAAGTTACATGAAATGGAATAGAATCAAAAAGGTGAGAAAGTCTGGTTATTTTATGTGGGTTTTTTTTTTTTTTTTTTGCTGGCTGACAAAGGTTCTTATCAATGGCTACAACCTCCAAATCAAATTCAAGTTCCATTTATTCCCTGCACAAATGTTTGCTCAGCACCTATCATGTTGATGGCACTGTGTTAAGTACTGGGGCTACAGCAATGAACAACAGAGAATAAGGGTATAGTAAGATAAGGGGCCTGGCACAGGTTCTCAAGACTTGTGAAGAATTATAATATGGTTATAACATGTGTCTCCATGAAGGTGACAAGCACAAAGTACAGTGTGGAAAAGGAAAGGTGCATCTAAGCTGTCAGGAGGAAGTGAAGGGAAGTTATACAGAAAAGACAACATTTTTCTTAAGACTTAAAGGACAATTTCTTTTTACTCTTTTTGTCAGGTAGACAATTTTGGGAGATTGTTCTAGGTAAGGAATTAGCACAAAGGTGAGGGGCAAGTTATAACCTGAGGCAATTCAGTATTAGACAGAGTAAAATGTAAAACATGAAGTAGTGACCTACACAGGTGGGCAGGCACCTGCATGCCCAGGGACAAAGTCTGGTTTTGACTCTGTAGACCTAGGTTAGATTGGGGATTAACTAATGAGGAATACCAGGGAATCCGTAAACCCCACGAAACTAAATGAAAAGTTTTGTAGGTGTGGGCATTTCCCTTGAGAGGTCCACAGCTTTCATTTAATTTTCAAAGGGAGTCTGTGCCCCACCGCCCCCAAAAAAGTTGCAGACAATGCAAGATCTCGGAAAAATTTTGAGAGTGGAGGAATATGATGAGGTCTATCTGTCAAAATGCTCCCTCTGGCAGCAAGTATGGAGGGCAGAAGGAGAGAGGTCACCACAGAACTAGATGGCATCTGCAGCCTAGACAAAAAATGGTGAATTTAGACTGGGAAAGTAGCATTGTCCAAGAGATATTGGACAAGAGACATCTGGGAACATGCCACAGGACTTACATCTCATCAGCACTTATTTCAAGATTTGGGAAAAGAAGGAGATGCCCCAGGGTTGACTTAGGCAAAAGGTAAAACTGTAGTGCCATTCACTGAGCTGAGGCAGGTTTTAATTTGGGAGGGTAGAGGTAGGGATATATTCATATTTAGATAGGTTGCATCTAAATTTCTTGTGGGACATCTATGCAGAGTTGGAAGAGACTTGCAAGAGAATATGTAGATTTAGAATATGTAGAATATGCAGAATTAGAATAGGTAGAATTAGAAGGAAAAAGAGCGAGGAATGGAACCCTGAGGAAAACCAATATTGAAGGGATGAGAATGGAAATAGGGGTTCCATGAAGAAAACTAGTAAGCAGCATGGGAGACAAGAGGAGAACCAAGACTTTACAGTGTTTTAGAAACCAAAGGGCACAGATCCAAGAATTGGTAATTGTACTAAACACTTCTTATAATTGATTTAAGACAAGGACTAGAAGGTTCGGTTGGCCAAAAAGAGATCACTGGTGAGCACTAAGGTGAAAACTTACTTATGACATCAATGAAGTCTAGAAGTCTAAGTTCATACCCTCAAGTTGAAAGAATCAAAACTGATAAATCTGTGCAGGAAAAGGGCTTTTCAGAAGCATTAGGGAAAGTCTGTGTATTTGGAAAAAACAAGGTTAGGGTCAAAGCAAAGTCATCACTGCTTTAGGAAAGATGAAGTCAACTAAGTAAGATCAGAAAAGATATGAAACTTCTGCTTGTTTACTTATTTTCTAGACTTTCACAAGGCCTATGGGATTTTCTACTTGGCATTCTGGAGTATGGATCTTAAGAAATAAAGAAAAGACATTACTCTGAAATGTATAGGTTGAAAAGATGTTTTCTGCTCCTAAGCTGAGTAAAAGTGGGGAGAAAAAATTAAGAAAAACAAATAAAAAAAGTTCTAAGTGTAAAGCAAAACAACAGATGGTAGGCAGGAAATGACCAAATCCATTAGGCAGAAGAGATTCTTTTATCTCCTCTCTCTCCCTTCTTCTGATCTCTATCCTCCCAACCTTAGAGGTCTTCCTTCCTGCCTTGAAATTAGATATCTGAATACTTTCCAGAAATCAAATTTTAGGACCTCTTTTGTGCCTCTGTATGTTGTTTCAAGCCCCTACTTCTCTAGAAACCACAGACTGGAACAAATACATAGCGTATACTAGGGAATCCTAGTAGTTCCTTGGGTTCTCCTGTCCAATTTCACTGACCTATTCTGGCCCCAGGTCAGTCCTGGCAGGCTCGGGTTGGTTGGTCCATGCTGCCTTAAATAACTCTCTGTGAGCAGCTGTCTGGCCCTTTAGAAGCAGCACAAAGGATAAGATTACCAGCACCACCCAAGGGTATTCTGGGTACAGCCAGGAGGGGCTCTGGAGAACACCCGAAAGCATGGATCTCAAATTACAACCTGCTGGGAAGAAGCTTTGGGGAGAACTACAGGTGATGGTTCCCTATGAGGAGGTAGAAAAGATTAATAAATGACGTGGTCACTAAGTTTTTCAAAGCAGATGCTAATACCTATTTTATAGAGCTTTGAATAGGATTTAAAAATTATTTAACACCAACATAAGGAATAAATGTTTGTTAAAGGTGAATTGAACTTTTTGAAGGATATGTAACTAAAAATTATAAACCCTAAAACAGCAATCCAGAGGGCCCCTGTTCCTATGAACCTTTAAAATTAGGGTAACCTTGCATTTGGAATGGACTGCCTATCTGAAGACAGAAGGATAACGCATATGACAAAGATCCTTTCCAGCAGAAAATGTTGATTTTATAAGGCTAAATGGCTTAGTGTGGTTTAGCAGGGCAAGGACCACTCCTGGGCTGGAAAGGGAACTAAGATTTGGCATCTAATCAGTCCAGCATCCTGGAGTTCTTGGTTTTAGAGCTTAGGGTAGTTGATTCCTGGCCACTCTTCTACTCTAAGAGATTTCTAGCTTTGCTAAACTAAGGGAAGGACAAGGCTGTAGCGCCTTTGGATTTCAGAGCACAATCTTACTTTCGCATATGGCCCAAAGCCTCTAGAAAAAAAGCCTTCTTATGCTCTCTCCCTGGGAAAACTAGGGGCTATTAGACTGGTCAGGAGACGTCTGTATTTGAGCTGCTCCCTCACTTGGGATCTCTGGATTCTACATTGAAGTTTTCTGTTCTGCTTCTTCACCTCACTAGAATTTCATCCTCCACCACTCCCAGCCCCTACTCACATGCATCTGTGATGCTATTCGAACTGGAGTGGGGTGGTTCCCTGGGTAAGAGGATCCCACTGGCCCCAGCTGGACTCTCCAGAAACCAGCTTATCAATAGCCTATATCTCCATGGATAATGATCCTTAAAGCAGGTGATGGTCATCCCTAGCACAAGAGAGGCTCAGTGCCCAGGGTCAGAAGCTGGGAAGGGATCTGCTGCTTAGACCAAGTTAAATCCTAGGTCTGCCTCTCTCTCTCTGTCTCTCCTTCCCCTCCTCCCTCCCTCTCTCTAAACCCCTTCCCCTGTTCAGAGACAAGTCTTTTTCATAATTTCATTACTCTTACTTGGACTTTTATTTTTATTTTTTATTTTTTTAGCAGATTCCCACTCCTCTTAATCTGACAACCCAATTCCACAGACCATCCTACTAAGGTTTTAGAATCAATGCAGAGTTTATATTGAAGAACTCAGTATTGGCATGGGATTCTTTCTAGGAGAAAAGAGAGAAGTGACTGAATCCAGATCAGGTCCCTACAGACTTATCTAAGACTCTACTCCAAATTGGTTACTACTCCTAAATTCAGGGTTCTATGCTCTCCTTCCTCAGTTTCATCATTCTAGCATTCTCCTATTCACTACAGATTGGTAGATACGAAGATAGACAGACAGACAGGCAGGCAGATAGACAGATAAAGATAAAACATATCATAATTATAATTAAATAAGCATTAGTTTAAAAATATACTTAAAATCTAGCTTTTCTAGACATAACTAAGCAGGTTTCATTAGACAGCAGGAACTCACAGACATCAGAGTTAATAGACCAGGAAGGATCATAAGACAAAGGCAACATGTGACTTTTTCAGTGCTGTACCCTTATGCCTGCTCTCCTGCTTGGCACACGACAGATGCTCAACAATTCATTTTTTACTTATTAATATTGCACTTATTGGGTAGTTACTGTGTACCAGGCACTAGTGTAAGTACTTTACTTGAATGAAGAGTCCAGTTTCTTGAAATCTATCTTCTCCAGTTTTCACAGGTGAATCCAACCAGGTTCTTTCATTTCATTATACAAATGGATTGTATTTCGTTAAGGCACATTTAATTATTTTTATTTATGCACCTGACATAAGAATTCTAATAATGTATGATATCTTTCCTCATCAAACTGTAAGTTCCCAAAGGAAATCAACTTCTTTGCAACATACAACACAGGGATCTGTACAAAATGGGTACTTAGCACAAAGCCTAGGAACAGGGGTGCAGAGGAAAGAGGAGACTGGCTGAAACCTCTTTTTCTCATCACTGACTCCAAGTCTTGGTATTCCTTCCAGAGAGATTCAACATACTATAAGTGAAAATATATAAGATCATCAGATGAGGGGGAAATAGTTTTTAAAAAGTCACATCTGGATCTCCCACATTTTCCCAGGTATTTGATTTTTCTGACTTCTGGATTTCTTGGACTCAACCCAGAGATGGGTGCTCTCTCATTTTGCTTTCTGGCCATCCTTCCCCTTGTTTCCCCAGGAATCTATACCAATTAACCGCTGCTCTTCCTGTTTAAGGGCTAAAGAGAAAGAAGGAAAGAAAGGCCAGGAGACAAGCAGTGAAGTACAACTGTGCCTGGGAAAAGGAAATGTGCTATAGAAATGAGGTGCCTGGTCACGGCAAGTGCAGCCACTCCACAAATGTCAGAGCTACTATGTGATGATGGAGTCGTGCCCCGCAAAGACCAACTGTGGGTCTCCCCACTTCCCTGCCATGTCCAATGTAGTCAAAGTGAATCTACCTACCACCGCTGCAACAATTTTATCACTTTAGTCTCTATCCAGTGTTGCTTGAGAAAACATCAGCCTTTTAGGTCCCACAGGACCAAAATGGTCCCAAATCATCCGAGAAACTTAGAAATTTTATGAAGATTTGAATAAATTAAAAAGCAGAGCAAACAAAATCAAAAGCACTTGGGGACTTAGTCATGACAGAGATTTTTAGGTAAGCCCAGGTTTCCAGCATGAATTGACAGCAGGAGAAAATTAAGGAAGATAGTTCTGTTCTACAGGGAATCAAGAAACCCAAGGGCTCCTCCCAGCCCTGCTTTTGTCCGCTCCCCTAGCAGGGCCCTCCTTTACCTTGGGCATCTCCACCAGAGGTTAGCACAGCAATGGCTTTGCCAATCCCCAGGGTCTTGGCTGCATGGTGCTCTTCATGGGTCATGATCCAATCTAGAATTCAAGATAATGGCCAGTTAAGAAACAGCGGGATCCAGGTGCTATTAGCTCAAGAAATGGCTTTGTCAGACTGGCTAGATCCACCTCAGCGAGGCTCTCCCACTACGCTAAATCTAGACTTTGCAGGCTGGGAGTTCTGGACTTCTTCCAGAAGACAGACTACACGCCTTCAGAGTGACAAGCTGAAATGTCACAGTAATGAAGCCCAACACTGCAAAAGTCCTGGCTAATCCCTTCCTGATCCCTCCCCCTAAAGGGGGCCTATTTGGAAAATAAGCTAAGGTCAAGGAGAAAGGCAGATGACCAAATAGAAATGAGGGAGGGGAAACGAGGAAAGCCAAGTTAGCCTAAAGGATTCCTCCCTTTTCACAAAGAGATGGTGCTTACAAAGGGTAGAATAAGAAGAAGTTTGGTACACTGACTGAGACCCAGCAAAGTGGAAGCAGAAAAAGTAAGGGCAGGCTGGGTGATAGTTTAAGATTTGAGTTGAACTAGAAGTGGACATTCAGTTATAAAGGCACATTAGAGCTTGGCTGAACTAAGACTGTCACACTAGGACTGGTTAGGAATTTCCTATGTCTTTCCCCACCCCTCTCAGCCTCTCCTCCTCAGCCTCTCTTAATCCTTTATCTTGGGGTCTTGCCTCTCACACTACATAGTATCAAGTAGGAAGAGTAACACAAAGCCACTGCCACAGGCACAGATACATGTGCCATGTGAACACCTCCTATTTTTGTCTTTAGGACTTACCATTCTCAAAGAAATACATAAGACATATTTTTCTATCAATAAAATACCGGTGGAGGGCCTCCCTGGTGGCACAGGGGTCAAAGACAGCACTATCAAGCTACCACCAGCCACTGCAGCATGAGTTCCATCCAGTGCTCTATCCCAGCCAGCCAGGGAGCAACCCACATGGCGCAGCAAACCATTCCTGCCTCACCCAGTGCTCCCTTCAGCAGTGTATTTCGGCAGATCTACCTCCCCACTCTCTCTGGTGAATCCTCTTACCCCCCACACCTCTGACTTACATCCCAGTTCTTCTATGCACAAATAAATAAACCTTAAAAAAATGTGAAAAATAAAATGCCATGGAATTATCCTTCTCTTAGTTAACCAGGCTAAAATCTGTTATTTTTCAATTTATCTTCTCACTCTCAGAATCAAAGTGGTTACCAAATGCTATTCTCCCTTTTTATTATATTCCCCTTTCTATCCTCACTGCCTCTTTCTGCCTGAACCACCTACAATAGCTGATCCCCCTCTGCTGGTGTTTCACTGCTTCATTCTGTTACAGACACAAACCATAAACTTCCATGGAAAGGCCACAGGCCTCTAAAGCCTCGGTGGAGAGAGGTTTCATTCACATGAATAGGAGGAGCTGATGACATTTAAGACAACTCATGTGTCAGCTGTGAATCTGGGAAATCAGGGTAGCTGATAAAGACATAGGTCACATACACAACAAATCCACACACGGGCAAATGAATACATGCAGTGAGACCTGCATAAAGACACACATACATAATGACGCACAGTGTTATTAAAAGACACAGATTCATACACATACTATATATAATCAGTGCTGACAGATAAAAGCCAAACATCTTGGATTAGCATTCCAGGCTTCCACTACCTAGCCCTTGCCAATAGCTTCAACCTTTGCTCCTGTAAATTCTCAGCTCCATCATTCCCTGAACATTCTTTGTGCATCTCTTCTGTGTCTGGGCGTACTATAGCCCCTCTCCTGAAGGTCACTTGATCCTTCCCACAGATCAATATCCATCTCACACCATAATTTAAGACTACTCACTACTCCAGTAAACCTCTCCAGCCTTCATAGGTCAAAGGGGGCTTCTTTTTGGACTTCCTCTAGCCACATATTGTCTGGAACTGGACCATTTGCTTAATTACTACTTCATGTGGTATTTTAATTGCTTCTTATGTACTGAAAAGGTTGGACCATTTAGGGGACAGCAAACTTCAGTCCACAGGCCAAAGCTAGACCTTCTTGAGTTTTTGTATGGCAGCAAAATAAGAAAAATGTTTACATTTTTAAACTGTTGGAAAAAAATCATGACATAAAAATCATATGAAATACACACTGCAGTGTCCACACCACCCCCATTTTTTTGTGTGTTACCCATGTCTGCTTCTGTGCTCCAACAGCAGAGTATACTATTGCAAGAGTGACCAGAGAGCTGGCAAACCCTAAAATATTAACTGTCCGGTACAGAAAAAGCATGCAGACTATTGGGCTATATGATTGCTGAAGTCATTTTTCTTAACTAGACTGAAAACTCCTCCAGGAAAGGCATATGTTTATTTTTTTTATGTTTATTTTTTAAAAATTGCCCACAATCTTGAGAAATCTAGCACATAACAGGAGTTTAATAAATACTCGTTGAAAGAACTAATGAACAACAAAAATCAGGTACAAATACATGAAAATTTCATAGCAACCTTGGGTACAGATACAGCTCTAGATTCTGCTAACACAGGGGCTGTGAGAAAGCATACAGTCACAGGAAATGTGAGGAAGAGAAACATACATGTAGACACACTAATGTTTAACTAGTGTTCATGTTCAAGTTTCTCCTGTTTTTAAAAGAGAAAGATGAAGTTGCTGGTGCAAATAGGATGCGAAAAATTTGTTAACAAAGAACAAAACGGATGCCAATGCTGATCCCTTTCCCCCAGTGTTTTCTCTTCTCATTCATTCTGAAGGCTCATCGCTGGATTAAAAAAAAAAAAAAAAACAATCAGAGATCTTTCATCCCTGAAGGCTCCAGTGAGGGAGAGAATGAACCACACAAAGGAACTTCGGGTGTGCTGACATGCACAACACGGCTCAGATGCTTCTCCTGCGTCTCTAATAAGACAGTTAGGGAGGCACAGGGCGCAGAAACACACGCAGCTTAACATCCACGCATCCTTCATCTGCCCACAGCGACACAGGGTAGGAATAAACACATCTACATTAAACCCATCTATGAAGTCCCTGGCGTACAGACAAGCACGCAGGAGAGAGAAGTAACCGGGAGGCAGCATCACAGGCTCCCTGACAGAACTGGCTGAGCGCCAGGCCAGGAGCGCAGGACACCGAAGGCGGCGAGGTCCGAGCACCTCCCGCCATCCCTGCCACCTCCCGGGGACGGGTCAGGGAGAGCAGGAGAGACAGCAGGCGAGGGGCTCGGCTCCTTCAGACCGCCCTGCCCATCCCCCTCGGGCCTCCTGCCGGATGCCATTCCACCTCTTCTTTTCCCTGCTGCACCCTTCGCCCTCCGCCATCGCGTCCCCTAAAACGTTCGCCCCCACCTCTCTCTCGGCTGCCCCCCACGTTCTTGGACCCAGCCCCTCTTGCCTTGAGGTCCCGGCTCTCTGCAGCAGCGGAGGCTTCCTTGCACACTGTCCTTGGGGAGGGGGAGGGGCGCCGTGAGCGGGGAGGAGCCAGGTGCTGGCGCAGGAGGGAGGAGGGGCGCGTCCCGAGCCCCCGGCGCCCGGTCCGCCCCGCCCCGCCGCTCCCGCCTCCCCGCCCGCCCGCGGCTCCGCAAGGGCATCGGCTTTTGACAGTTTCTTCTCTCCTCGGTGGTTCCTGGGCTCCTCGTTTCTAGCTCAGGAGCCATCAGCTCCTGTGTGCAGTGGGAATCAGGAATTATGTAGTTGCTTCCCGTGTCAGCAGAGGCAGCTTTTTCCTAGGCTGGGCTGAGACTCCTTGCATTCAAACTTTCTCAGCAACCGGTAATGACACCGCCCCTCTGGCCCTATTCATTGTCCCCCTTCGATGTCACTCTCCGAACGTTTATTGAAAGGCTGTGTGCTAGATTTTGTATCAGGTGCTGAGAAATGAAAAGAAAAATGAAATGATCTAGAAAACCTAAATATGGGCCAGGAAAAAGAATAACTATAAGAAAGAAAAAAATCAAAATCAACAAACAACTAGGAAACTATGAACCAGAGACACTCTTTGGGGGGGGGGGTTGGAATTGGGGTCAAAATCGGGGTTGCAATTGTATGGGGAATATAAAAATTTTTTAAAAAGTGAAAAAAAAATTTAAAAAATAAAAATAAAGTTCAGCAAGAAATTATTCCACAGCAAAAATAAAAATAAAAATGGAGTGCCTGCCTTTGAGTAATGTTGAACTCTGGTATTGTCTATAGTGGGACCGCAGAAACTCCTCTTACATTTATGTTACCTTTCTCAGAGAGAAAAATACAGAAAAATTAAATAGGAATGAGGGTGCGAGAGGCAAGATCCCTGCCATGATAGCCGGTCTCTCCTGCAGTAAGGAGGGGGTGCAGGATTCTGGTAGTGAAACCAGGGTACCTGTTGAGCCACAAAGCAAACAGGATCCACCCATGGGAATGTGAGTCCATTACTCCCACAGCAAGAGGTGCATCCTGGTCTCAGGTTCTCTATACTCCTTTCTCTGTGCCACCCACACCATGGCTGCCGACCTCTTCTAGTCATCTCACTCCTTGCTGTTTCTACTGCCTTCCCCCTGTGTTACAGCTACAAATACTAAGAAAGCAAATCACTAGATTAAACCATTTCACCACACAGAATTAACCTTTTTGTATCAACTGTTATCATCAAAAACTGAAAAGACAACCCTCAGAATAAGAGACTATTTGTTAACCATATATCTCCTAAGTGGCTAGTATTCAGCATATATAAATAACTCTTGCCACCCAATAACAAAAAGAAACACCATTTAGAAATGGACAAAAGATCTGAAAACATACCAAAGAAGATACACAGATGGCAAATAAGCTTATGAATTTATGTTCCACATCAGATGTCATCAGGGAAAACAATGAGATACTACAACCTATTAGAATGGCTAAAATAAATAAAAACTGACAATACTAAATGCTGGTAAGAAGCTGGTGGAGCAATAGGAACACTCTGTCAGTGAGAATGCAAAGTGGGACGGTAACTATAAAAAATAACTTGTCAGTTTCTAACAAAGCTAAATAGTCCTACCATATGA